GTGGATCAGGCCCCTTTTCAAACCTGAAATGCAGGAACATATCCTGTGCTCATATAGAGTTTCAATTGACTAGCTCCCTGTTCCAGAGTGTGCATGGTACACAATGCAGCAAATGCAACAAAACAAAACCTTAAAGCTTCACCTTACTTTGCCCGTGTAAAGGCATTTTGAAGTAAAATATAAATTCAGCCTGTGTAAAGCACGAGGGGCAAGACCTTGAGACCTTGAGCAAGACGTGTCCCTGAAAACACAACCTGGAAGTGCTCCAGATCTTAGTGCTCCAGAAGAATATCATTGATCCAATATCCAATCCAATGTTTCTTTTTTTGTTTTCCCGGTTTTCTCTCTGTAGCACTTTTCTTTGAAACTAATTAAAACGTTTATATATAAAAAAGAAAAGAATGTCATTGATCACAGTCTCTGTAAAGGGTAAAATAGGTGTGATGTGTGAAGAACACGACAGTGTCTGTTTTTGCTATGGGTGGCCCTATCAGGAAGCCAAGGTGCAAGAGAACATCTGTCAGAAAGGCAAGCAGCACGTGTCACCAGCTTCCGTAGTCCCATGCATTTGTGACAAAGTAGGTCATGTGCCCTTCACTCGGTGATGTATGCATCTGGTTCAGGCTTCTCCCTGTAGGAAGATGACATCCATGTAGAATATCACAAGTGGACTGGCTTTAGGCCTGGTTCACACACTGTCGGAAGGGGCGGCGGCATCAGGAGGCGGAAGAAGGAACAGTGCCACTTCAGACAGCACGTGGAGAATCACACTGTAGAAATGCTTTGCCAATGTGAAAGTGAGCAAAAAACAAGAGCGTGCAGAGGGGCAAGGTAGAGCATTTCCCCCTCTCTCAGCCTAACCTACCCCAGGGGGCTGCTGGGAGGATAAAATGGGAGAGGGGAGAATGCCACAAGTCTCTTTGGGTCCCCACCGGGGAGAAAAATGAGCTGTAAATTAAGTCAATAAACCATTGGGGGGGGCTTTGCCACCTCATTCTTTTGCATATGTAAACTAAGCTTTAGAACTGGCTTTTGACACAAAAAGGGTTAGCAGCAGAGGCACCAGAGGATCATTTATTGTCCCTTGCATGACATCGGAAGATTGTGCTTTGACATCTCCCCTTGAACCACAGATACAGCCTGGTGTCCCCTTCAGGACGTTCTGTTATGATACAACCAAAGCAGACGCTTGTTAAAAAGAAAAAAAAAATATTCTAGATATTATTTCCAGCTTGGTGATCGACAGATCCCTTATTTTTATTGCTTTATGGTGTGCTAGATATAAAACACACACGGCAAACTCAAACAATGCAATGGCAAAGATTACTTATAGGGCACTGAAGTCTTGGCATCTGGACCAACCAAGCAGAAAATGTGCACAAGGGATAACCTAATCTTTTCCTAACAACTGGGCTATTTTACTCTGAAGTAGGTCCTCCAGAGTTCAGGGGGACTTAAGTGTCAAGGAACTGTGCCTAGAATTGCCTCCTGAATCTTGCCCAGTCATTCTGCAGATTTGCTTTTTGTATGTAAAGCCGATAGGGATGTACCCACAATTTATGGTGCCCCTCCCAGCACATTTTGTGAAACTGTAATTCAAAAAAGTATATATTGCTGGGAAGTTTAGTGAATGATCAAATCCTTCCCTGTTTGCAAACAGAATTCTTTGTTAGCTTGTTCAGTCGGTTCAACACCCACAATGCTTGCCCACAACAGAAGATTACAGTTTCAGTCTTCTAGGAAAATATGTTTTTAAAAAACCTCTCGGGTCTTCTTACATACATTAAATTTAAATTGCTCTTGGCCTATATGATCTCAAAGTCTTAAACAGACAGATATCCCCTAACCCGCAATCTGCCTGTAGCTCTCAAAACCAGTTTTGAGATGGGAGGATGGAAAAGGTACAACCGTTTTCAGTGTTTGTGACCATGCTAAACCAAGTGAAACTCTCCCTCCTACACAAACACAAAATCCCATCAATCTGTTTGTACACAAAGTACACTAGTTCCTCTTGAACTGGCAAAAAAGGCCTTAGTGGTCTGTGTTCAGAAAGAGGTCCGGATCTGTCATGAATCCAAAATGGAGGAAAACAGAAGGGGTGGCAGGGGGGAAAAAAAATCTCAGTCAGGTAGTCCTTCCCCAAAGGCAGCTTAAAAGAATCCCCGTGTTTGACTCCTATCTCCACTGCTGACTCAACTGGCCCTCTGCATATAATATACGGCTGGTGGAATTTGTGGCTGAAATGGTGACGCCGTGGATGTCTTTTGGCATGGTTGCAAGAAGGGGGTTCCCACATGGGTGTAGCTAAAGAAGAGAGGTTTTACCACTGTGGTGAAAATTGGGCCAAACAGTTGAGCTGCTTCACAAAAGTAGCTTCCTTTGTGGTTGACGCTACCTCCATCACCAGCATAACAAGAGTTTTTGGGTACTCAGCAACTCCTCATGCCCTGGTTCGGTACCTCCATCACCAGCATAACAAGAGTTTGTGAGTACTCAGCAACCCCTCATGCCCTGGTTCGGGTTGCCAAACTCCAGGTGGGGCCTGGAGCACTCCCGGAATTACAACTGCTCTCCAGACTACAGGGGGGGGGCATGGCTGCTTTGGAGGGAGGACCCTGTGGCCTTATGCCACTCCATCCCCAAACCCAGCCATCCCCATGTTCCACTCCCAAATCTCCAGAGTTGGCAACCCCACCTCTGGTTCTCCCACCTATCAAATGCATACCCTATCCTGCCCCTCAAACTATTGTGAAGACAAGCAAAAGACTGCAAACCACACTGTATATTTAAAAATTGCGATATAAATTTGAAGCTAGGCGTGAGGCTTCATTGCCAAGTAGACACGGTGTGCAAGTACAGCCACGTTGAGGCTCCACACAACCAAAGACCCAGCATCCATCTTTTAAGAACATGAAACACCAAGGAAGAGAACATCACACACTCCCTACATTTTTCTTCTCTGGGATTCTTAACATACACACCCCCATTTGATTTCAGGTCACACGGTTTAAAAAGGGTGATGCAGGAAGGATTTATACCTGGCTACTTCTTAAGACGAAGTACCTGGCTAAGTCAATTTAGGTCTTTCCAAAAACTAGGGTTTTTTCAGACTCTCAGATCAGTCCAGAGAGGAAAGCTTGATCAGGTGGCAAGGACTCATGATTCTGAAAAACACCCATGCTGTACGAAAACTAGCCGCGGTCTCCTGCTATCCTTGCACTGAAGCTCCTCTCTCGGGCAGAAGGCTGTCTGGACTCTGTGCTGAGGCTACCCTGTCTACTGCCAGCTAGCCAAACAGAAGAGCCCAGATTGTAGCAACTTCAAGAAAGAACAACAGACAACACTTTGCTTGCTTGTCTTAAGTAACTGGAGGAGACTGTTGCTGAGCTGATGATTTAGCTAGCAGAAACCCAAGAGCCCAATTCAGTTCTCTGAGGATGCAGTATCAGTGCCCCAAGGAATACCCACAAAGGGACAACACAGTTGTGTGTTCTGACTAAGCATATAGCACTGGCATAGCAGGGCATTGCAGAGAATGGTGTGGAGCAGGCGAATCATGCCCTCCATACCCCCATCTGATCTTCCCGGTTCTACTCCAGTAAAGATCTTTAAATCCTTGTGTAAGTGGGAGGAAGGCTAGACCAGTCTCTATATCAGTCTGAGTGCCCATGTATGAACACCATGGTGGGAGGGGGAGCATAAGGCTTTTATGCGCTTCACCCATGGCGTACTAGATCAAGCCCAAACATTTAAAATGTGGGGTATACAATGCCGGCATTATACAGAGGCTAGTGAAAAACACAGCTCACCAAAATGCAGGGAAAGTGTCACAGCCAACCAGAAAAGCCAAATAAAACTTTACTCTAGTAAATCTAGCTGTAAATCCACAGTAACTAGAGACAACCTAGCAACATCACCAAGTCAAAAGCCTTGCCAGAGCCAGCTGTACACACTTCAGACAGAGATGCAAACCCCAAAACTGTCCCCCTTCCCCCACCCACACTGCAGTTCACTTACAAAAAAATGTCACAGAGAGACACAGATCTGGAACCCAGTGTCTGGAGGTACTGGTACACATGGCTTCAGCCATAGTGTTTTGCAACAAGAGGAAACTCCCCAAATTGTAAGACTTTGTGGCTGCTACCTCCAGAGTGGCAGTGATTTTTTTTAAAGCTCAGATAAATAATATGGTGGTGAGACATCTAACTTCTGACTGTGCTTTGTTCTTGAGCAGGTGTACAAAGAGTATCGGCTTTGTTCTTGAGCAGGTGTACAAAGAGCATCGTACAGTGTAAGCAACCGCCAGGCAAAAGGTGTGTTACTCATGTACTTGTGCAATGCACACTTGCAACACTGCTTTTCTCCACCACTAGATGGTGCTGTAGGCTTTCAATGCTCAAACCTACTGCAGTTCCGTTTTCTGAAATCTTACTGTCCCTTGGTTTGTATTTTTCCTGTAATGAGAATAAGACCCCACTTTATGAAACAGAGTTAGTACAGGAAAAGAACTTGGAGAAGAGTGAGGGAGACCCAAGCCGTGCACATACACACAGCAGGAAGAGAACAGACACCTCTACTTCAGACTGCTGAGGAAATATTACCACTTTCGACTGCTCCCCCATACAAAAAACCCTCCGCAACTAGGAAGTTAGCACATAAGGGAGAGGATTTCTAGTCCAGGCCTTTGCCTATTGTGCTGGTTTCCTATCTCCAAGGAGACTGCAGCTTCAAAATGCGACTCTCTGCTTGTGGTCTGAAATGGCAAGTCCATTCTATTCCTGCCGCAGTGTTCATACTACACTGCAGGGCTCAACCAGGCCTAAATGCACACATACCTCAAAATACAATTATTAATTATTTCAACTGATAACACCCAAGAGACTCACTGACACTTGATTCCCTTTTGAGGGGCTCCATTTTGTATATACAAGGCGTACAACACAAACGGCGAACAGGAGAGAATGTAAGACAGCACGCACTGCAGAGTGGATATAGCCAAGTATTCATTTATTAACAAAATAAGACTTACCAGAACGGAGCTCTATTCACCCAAAAAACGATCCACAGCCTTCCGCGTTGCGTTAGACTGGGGATTGGGGGGGGGGCAGGCTCCGCACCCTAATGACTGTTCCATTCCTATAGGTTAAGAGTAGTTGGGTGGGGGGCAATTAGGGAGGGTTTGTGTTGGGGTTTTTTTTGGTATGTAGATTTGAGCCTCTAGATGAGGGTACAATGAGCCCCCAAGTTAGCCGGACTTGCTTACAGGATCCGGCTTTTGTACTATGCTGAGCAAAGTTCTTCCGAGTTCTCCATTTGGCGCTTGTGAAAAAAAGTTGCTCTATTCCAGTCATTCGAGGATGCCAATTTCACTTAAATCCAGGTCTTTTAAGGGGGGGGAAAACTGTTGAGAGATGCCCCCTTGGTGGACTCTTTCCTTCCCACTCTTCATGGGCCTCTCTGTAACAGCAAGGATCCAAACACCCACTGGATTGGCGGGCCAACACTGTCTATACGGGGGCACCCGCAAGGTCTTATAGGGAAGGATCCTGACTATAAAGAGCAGCAGTCCCACCCAAGCTGGTGGCCAAGCTCGGCTCTCCCCTCCCCCAAGAGATGGCACCCAGCAGCTGGGGATACCAACCAGAGGAGACGCTCTCCCGATTCTGCAAACTGAACAATGCCAAAAACCATCTCTAGCCGATCTCCCACCAACCCCTTCCTCCAAACACAATACACAAAAGGGGGGGAAAATATTACATTTCTGGTAACTGTACAAAAAGGAAGAGGAAATGATTTTTTTTTAATAAAAAAAGAGATAAAACAAAGCAAGGGGGGGGGGAGAAGAAACTTCTGCTGTTGTTGCCAGTTGAGAATCATGCAAAAGGACACCAGGGCAGGAGAATTTGAAAGAAATTAAAGGGGGATTTTAAAAGAAACACAAGAAGAGCCCCCAACGCCTGCAAAAGTAAAGGGATTCTTTTTTTGTGTGTGGGAGGGGGGGGACACAGACTTTTTGCATACCATTGATTCATTGGTGTATTAATGCACTTATATTCCCAGCTTTAAGCTAACATAGAGTCAATAAATACAGAGTCCAGGGCAAGGGGCAAGAAAGGTCACAAGGTGGGGGTGGGGGGATGCGCTGTAGTTACTGATATCCAAGTGCGGAGGCTGAAGTTAGTCTTTGGCCATACAGGGCATACGGAGAATAGTACGGTCCAGCCGCTGGCAAGGAGGGCACCGGCAACGCCCCAGCCGTGGGCAAATGGCTCTTGCCGTAGGGATGGTATCTGTTTAGTCCCAAAGTGTGTGGACTTCTCAAAGACAAGGATCCTGGCAAGGAGCTGGGGCTCCCGGGGGCCGTGGGCGGGAGGTGGAGGTGGCAGGACGCCGCAGAGCTCAGCCCAGAGGCAGGGTAGCCAGCCAGAAGTTTTTCCGCCCCGGGCAGAGTGGTGTGGGTCCGTAAATGGGCCAGGAGTTCCTCCGAGGTGGAAAACCTCTTGTCGCAGGGTCCGCTGGCTGACACCCAGTTGCATATGTGGGGCAGGGCGTCGTTCTGGAGCATGAAGCCGTAGGTGTAGAGGGGGTGACCGGGAAGGCTGGGTGTGGCGCTGGAGAGGGTGGTGTGGAGCGGGTGTGTGGGGTATACCAAAGGGTATCCTCCACTCTTCAGGCTGCCCGGGTCGTGGACGCAGCTGGAGCAGTTGCTGGTGCCCAAGTGGGAGGCGCTGTGGTAGCTCAGGCAATAGGGGTCGCGGCATAATCCTTGCATGAAGGAAGGGGGCGAGGCCCCTGTCAGCGGGCTGGAGCTGGGGGGCTTCCCGGGCAAGCCTAAGGCCCCAGGCAACTGGCTGCTCACCAGGCCGGCCTTGGTAGGATCCAGGCCGGGCACAAACTGGGAGGGGTAGCCGGCGTAGGCCCCGACGATGGATCCGTGGTAGCCGATACTGGAGGGGGGCAGGGGGAAGACCGAGTGTCCCGGCTTGTAGGGCGACACGGGGGCCACGTGGCCCGAGGCAGCCAGGGCCGGCGGCTCGGACTTGCGCCCGGAAGAGGCCTCGCCCCCATGCGCCCCCGGCTCGGTGCTCCCGGCGCCGCTGCCCGCCCGGCTCCCCCCGGTGCTCTGCGCGCCGTCGGGGCTGCCCTTGGCGACTCCCTCGAGCTCCTTCTTCTCCTCGGGCCCTTTGCACTCCGAATGCTGCGGGGAGCTGCCGCGCGAGCCGCCCGGGGACCCGCCGCCGCCGCCCTCTTTGCGCGGATCGCCGTTGCCGCCGCCGCCGCCGCCCTTGGAATAAGGCTTGAAGCTGGATTTGTCCTCGCCGGGGGGCTCCCCCAGCTGCTTGAGGGCGCTGGAGGCCGAGCGGCTGCCCGATTCCTTGTCCGAGCCGGAGAGGCCGGCGGAAGCGCCCGAGTTCAGCTTGGAGGCGGGTGGAGGGTCAGGCTTGCCGATCTGCGAGCAGGTCTGCGCCAGGAGCGCCAGGGGGCTCTTCTTGGCATCCAGCTGGGAGACGGGGGGG